ACCCAGAGCAGACGTCTGCACTTGACCATCACTCCTCACCCTCCCCTTCATTGTCATTGCCAGCACTCTGCTCTCCAAGTCCTTACCAACAAACTTTCAAAGCTGAACAGGGAATTCCGAAACACGGCAACACATCGAGGGTTTCTTCTGGTCACCAAAGCATCCTGAGGCTCCATGACCTGTGGGTGGTGACCAATAGGACACAGAGGAAAAGATTCATCAAAGCCAAAGTGCAAACCCATGACATCAATGATGATTTCTTCAAATCCCTCCAATGAAAGGTGATTATTATGGCCACTTTGAGAGTCATTAGCAAAAGAGTCTCCACCATAATATTTGTGAGGACTTTCTGACTAATTTAGCGTATGAAATTTTTTTTTTAGAGACAGGGTCTCACTCTGTCACCCAGGCTCGAGTGCAGTGGCGTGATCACAACTCACTGCAAGCTCAAATTCCTGGGCTCAAGCGATCCTCCTGCCTCAGTCTCCCAAGTAGCTGGGACTATAGGCATGCACCACCACACCTGGCTAAATTTTTTTATTTTTTGCAGATACAGGGTCTCACTATGTTGCCCAGGCTGGTCTCAAACTTCTGGGCTCAAGTGATCTTCCCACTTTGGCCTCCCAAAGTTCTGGGATTACAGGCACGAGCCATCATGCCCGGCCCCAGCAGATGGAATTTGTAAAGGTTCACAATGAAAAAATCAACTAGGAGAAGATGAAACTTCTAAAGGAAGTTAGTTGCTAAAAGAAGATGCCAGCAAGCTAAAGGCAAGAATGTTCTTATTACTAAGCCCTATACTGACAAAATGTAAATCACTGTTAATTAAAATTTTTTGAAAACTTCAAATTTTACAAACATCGAGATTCTAAACCTACTCTCTTTTCATGCCCAAAAATGTCACCGTGATGGTGCCAGCGTTGGGCTTTTACCTCTTCTCTTGGAAGGCTTTCTTTGGGCAGAGGATAGCAGAAGAAATTAACTGGATAAACCTAAATCTATCAAAAAGAAAAATAAATAAGACATACTGTGAAATGGTGAATTTCCTAATTTTGAATTGTTTAATTAAGTTTTAAAACAAAAACAGAGCAATGAGCTTTTTCCCCTTAGGAAGGGAGAAATGGCAGAAATCACTTTTGTGTTTATACTGAAACAGGTCCACTGAGCATCCTCTGTAAACACTTAATAATGATCATATAATATCAAAAATGAAAATCCCTTATTATTTATTGAACTGGATACGATGCTCGCAAGAAGCCTTTTAAATGAGATTCTCAAAGAACTTTATAAATGTTCTCTCATTATCATTCACCTTCATTTGAAAAGGTAAGTATCTTCATCTCCGTTTCAGCATTAGGGGTTAACAGAAAGGTTAAATGAATTATATAAAGTTATATTAAAAGCCTGAGAATGATAGAGACCAAGGTTTGTTATCCCTTGAGAACTAAAAGTCTTTCTTTGAAAAATTAAGCAACTTATCTAATTATTTTTAAGAGAGTGTTTCACAAAAATACAGTATTTTATCTGTACATCATGGTCTAGAAAAAAAAGTCACAAAATAATAACCATGCTAAATAAAAATTCAGTGTGGTTTCCAGAATCCTTTCTATTCTGTGTACCCACCCGTGTGGCTGGAGATTTGAAATGCTATTTAAGTCTCATTTTCCTTCAGAAGCTAACCTCTGTGGAATAAAATGCTGTTAAAGGGGAAAAATCTTTTCTGTCATTTGACTTTAACTTATGATAAATTAGCTTCAACTAGTTTCTTAGAAAATTGCCCAAGAAATGACTACAGAAAATTAAATACCAAGACTTCAAAGAGGTAAACACACAGCCTTCAAATTCCGACCTCAGAGAATAATCCTCCCTTTCTCATGCTTTGGAGAGATGTGAGTAAAGAAATCATACTAGGGCATGGTAATGAACCATCTTTCAAATGACTTTTCTATCAATCTTCTTTTCAAAGGGTAATAAAGTGATGATTATTTCTAGGCCATTTCTGGGAAGTTATCATCTCATTTCAATAGTCACCAGTAAAGGACTGCACTCTGGCGTTATCACCACTGGTGATAAGGGCAAGAACTGGGTGAGAATTCAATAGACAAGGTGTAGATTGTTAAAAGCTATTTCCTAGAAAATTAAAACAGAGAGAGATCAAAAGAATTGTGTTGGGTCTTAAGGAATTGGTAATGATTTCCTTCTAGATTAAAAATGCAAATCTGATTTATTACCTAGTGAATGAAATCCACTAGCATTTGAAAGTTTTATTATTTCTTTCAACAAATATTATCGAAAGCATATTAGGTGTCTTGCTTTGTGCTAGATGTTGGTGACTGATTGAGAAGGACAAGACATAACAAGCGCATCTGTGTCATGACTTGTAGAACCAGAGCCATCAGTCTTACCTAAAACAACAGTAACAAACAACCACCACCAAAAAAACAATCTTTTTTTTCAAAGCATTGACTCAATGATTCTTAGGGGGTCTTAGCCACCCCCCAGTACTTGTTTTGCAAAGCCACAGAAAATAATAACAGGGTAAGAAACACTCAAGAAACTATATGTAATTCCATTCCCCAGAGCTATAAGAAGCTTAAAGACAGCATAGGGCAGAAGTTTCTCCAGGACCCCATACAGCCTCTTGGAAAGAAACTCCAATGCCCTGGATGCCTGCAGAAGAGGGCTCTGGAAACCTGGCTGCTTCTCTGGTCCCCAGAGGCAAATCCCATCTGTGATCTGGGCTTTGCATTCAGATGAGGATTATAGAGTCTGTTTCTCCTCAGTGGTTCCTAAAACCAGCCCTACCTATGTCTTCTCCTTTGCCCTAATTCTCTTATCCCAGTCCGAACTTACTGCCCACTAGCAGATACGGTATGGGTCACATCTCTGGATTCAACATCTGGCCAGAAGTCAATTTTTCTTTTTTTAGCATTAACTAGAAATCCAAACGTGGAACAAAAAACAAGCAAAAAGAGACATGAGACAGAGCTTTTTGAGGGCAAAGAAATGCTACGTTCCCCACTGCATCCTCATCACTAATGAAGTACAGAGAAGGCTCTTAATAAATATCTATTGAATAAAATTGACCGAATGAATGAATACTCCACCCTTTTGTGGTCACCAATTACTCAAAGCCAAGAATGTCACGTCAGTATTTGCATGCAAGCAATCTCACAGTGACCTTTGCCTAGCAATTTGCCTTTTAAAAATATTATTCTGTTGATTTTTCTTAAAACAAAACAAAACAGCACACCACAGAAATTTGAAATCAAAATGTATTTGCTTTCAAGTTCCATTCCAGGTAACAAATATTTGACCAATGAATTGATGTCTTTAGTTCGACCCTTGGATAGGCAAACTCTGCCTCTTCCCATAGTTGAATGCAACACTGAAGTGAGTACCAATTGATTCCTTATTGATTCGTAGAAAAGGAGAAAGCTGTTAAGCCCCTGAAAAATATTAACAATTTTATCCTCATTGCCAATCAAAAAATCACCCAAATTTCCCACCTCCCACCACCCCCGTGACCAAAGTAAAAGGGTAGAAATTAGCCCTTGGGTAACTCAAGCTTACAAGAATCAGACACTATCATTGGCAAACTAAATTTTTGGTTTTCCATCGCCCTAAGCAACATTTCCTCTGAAGTATAACCGAAGAATGCAGGAGTGTAGATTATAAGAGCAGGTTTAGCAGTGAGTCAGCTAACATAGGGACCAAAGATAATGGTAAGTTGAAAATGTTCAAACCCAGGAGGTTTGCTGCTGGTAGATTGGAGCACCTTGTAATAAAAAAGGGAGATGCAAGAGGAGAGGGGAGAGGGTTCCCAACTCTCCACCTCTCCCTGTGCGAAAAGCTCATGCTTGCTCTGAGGTAGGGCAACCCAGCCCAGCATGCAAGAGGAACGACTGATCCCCCAAACATGCTACTCAATGTAGCTTCCAGGAGTTCTTTGTGGGAAACCGGCAACACATTCTCAGGCAGTACTTTAAAATATATACAGCACTCTTTAAGGCATGGGAACTCTGCACCTGGAAGGAAGCAAGCACCTGGGAGGCCTGTTTTCAGTCTGAAATCCCATCTTCCCGACATGGAGTAATTTAACCTGCAATATTAAATATGCAACTTTGGAAAAGGGAGTGGTATTTTAAAGGTTGACTTAGTCAACTCTAACTGATAATATCCCTGAGCTTAAGGGAAGGGAAGCTCTCTCTCACGAATTTCCAGTTTTTCATAGCTTTGTTCTCTTATTTAAAAAAAAAAAAAAAAAGATGGAAGAGCATTTGTTTCAGATTTCCCTTTTCCTTTCTTTCAGGGAAGCCTGAAATGCTCAGGCATCGTATGATTCACTGACAATACCTCAAATCCCTCTAGATTTCACCAGGATACAAACTTTTTACGGGTTAGCTTGTGCAGGAGGGTGCTCCAATCTGTGCAAGGACACCCTGGCTCCACTGTTTCCCCTATTGTTGCTATTCAGAGTCCTATGCTGTGGACAGGAGAGAGGAAGAAGTCACATAACTTTTTTTGTACATATAAAGACATAAATACAGTCTGGGGGTGAGGTGATGAATAGCGGTGGAGGGGTGCTGTCTGCACATGCAGCGAGAAAATAAATTAAACTCATCCCCCTGGCGCTTCAGTGTGCAGCATTCTGCTCCAAGGTTTCCAAGCCACCAGCTAAAGCAATGAGGTATAAAGGAACAGCATGCCCAGCTGACTCGTCCAAGTGTCTTCCCGAGGAACTTGAGGATGGAGATGCAAAGTGCCCTGCACAGAGGTCAATACCCAGGAGAACCCAATCATCATCACACACCAATGAGGCCTTGGGTCAGGCACAGAGAGAGGCTCAGAAGGCATGTCCCAAGGAGCCCAAGGCGTCAGGCGGTCCTGAGGGAGACTTGGACATAATTAATCACGGTTACGTCAACCAATCCAATCGATGTCACCGTAGAGCTCATGGCAGGAGGGGCCGGCACGTGGCCATCTTGCTTCTCCCCTTTTCACAGCTGTGTATGATCTTCTGGGGAATTTCTAGCCCTCTCCCTTGCTGGATGTCCCTTAGCTGATTCTATTTTGACCTCGAGTCCAAAGGTGGAATTTATCCTTCCAGGGGAATAGTCATTTCTTTTTAAATCTGCAAGGAAGACAAGTAGGAAGGTAATAGTGGATCCCCAAGAATCTACCGTTCATGCAGATAGATTGGACTTCAGGCTTTGCCTGGTGTTCAGAGAGGTCTCTTCTTCCTCAAGCCATGGACACATGGCACTCAAACCCCAGACCATGTCCAAACTAAGCCTCCTCCCACCGCAATGCCCACGAGCGACTCTAACGCTCCCATGCTTTTTAGGCACTGTTTACAGGGCAGGGATTCAATATGCAATGCCCTATAAGGCACAACCTGGCCAGAGTTAAGCGAGGAAGAACTGGAAAGTGGGCATTTCCACTGCAGAGGGACAGGGAGGGCGGGGAGGGCAGCTGACGGCAGCTCCAGATCAGTGGTCAGTTTCTGCAACAAAAGCTATATCTCAGGTTTGGTACTGCCTGAAAAGTTTCATTCAGCTATCAGAACCTATGCTTTCTAAGGCCTTCTTTTTCCATTTGAAAAAAGAAATCAAAAGAAAACATTAATAATAAGGGTAACTTTGGGGAGAAAGGTATGGAGGAAAATGGGTTTTAAATGTTTGCACACCTTTTTGTGCTGAACTGATTACATTTGGTAACCTTAAACATGTATTTCTTATATTAATTTTAATGTTAAATGGGGATTACCTGGACATAAGCTAATATATATTTTATATACATATATATCTGTATATTTGTTTTGTTTTGTTTTGTTTTTGAGACAGGATCTTGCTTTGTAGCCCAGGCTAGAGTGCAGTGGTGTCATCACAGCTCACTGCAACCTCAAACTCCTGGGCTCAAGCGATCCTCCTCCTGCCTCAGCCTCCCAAGTAGCTGCCTGCCTAATGTTTTTATTTTTTGTAGAGACAGGTCTCACTCTTGCTTAGGCTGGTCTCAAACTCCTGACTTCAAGCAATCCTCCTGCCTCAGCCTCCCAAAGTACTAGGATTACAGGCATGAGCCACCACGACCAGCCCATATTATATTTTAACAAGAACCAATATTTTTGAACATATACATTTGTCACTTAATTCAGTCCTCACACCAACTTTATGAGACAAGCACTATTATGCCCAGTTTACAGATGAGGAAACTGAAGCCCAAGGTCACCTAGCTTGTCAAAAACAGAACTGGGGTGCAAGTTCAATTTGTCTGGCTCTAGATCACATGCCCTTTCCACTAAACTGCCTCTCCTTAAAAAAAGAAAAAAGTAAAGAATAATCAAACAACAAAGAAAAATCGCCTCTAATCCTGTTTGACAGACTAAACTCTTTTTTTTGTTCAGATTACCAAATGTGAGTATATGTGGATATTTCTTATTTCTACTTAAATGTTAGTTAAAAACTAAGGTTTTGAAAGGAAACATGAATTAGGACTAGAGATGGAAAAATTACTGAATTACTCACTCAAAACTCATCAGTGTAGTATAAAATAAATTATCTCAACCTTAATCCTATAGAACAGCTAACTGGGCTCACGGGTTAGAAGCAACAAGTTATGTCTTGAGTCTCCCTGTCTTCCGGCTGGTCAGATGTAGTCCCCGTGTCTTTAAGAATGGAGGCTGCCCTGTCCACGGTACAGTGAATCAGACCTGGGGAGAGGCCAGTGTCTGGGGATGTGCAGTTAATGGATGGACTCCAGCCTGCAATCATGGGATGACGCAGATATCCGCCAGCTCCTGCCTCCTGCAAGGCCCTCACCTGGAGGCCCCAGTGCCCCTCAACCCAGCCGCAGCCCCTTCCTGGGCTCCTTCTGACCAGAGAGAAGGCCAGTGGGGAGCTCAGCTCTGCGCTGGTCTCTTTGCCCAGGACTGGTGTGTGATTTGTAAGAGGGAGTCCCGGCAGTCGTGAGAGTCACGGCCCCCCAATCCTTGACTGCTCCGTTTTGATCTCCCCATCTCCCACCCCCCACCACCCCTGGCTGACACACTATATTCCCACTGGGCCTGGAGGCCTGCTCCAAATCCCAGTCTTTTGCTAGGTCTTGCCCACAAAAGCTCACCTATCTCTAACTCCAACAAGACCAGAAATTGCCCCTTTTTGTTACAACTTTACACCTGCTCCATCCCACGTTACGATGGCTGGTGCTCTCTTACTGATTTCCAATTCAGGGTATGATCATTTATTAGAAGGCAGGAAAGGCTACTCAACTTAAAATATGTGAAATCCCATTTTAAGGACAAGTTTGGTGTGACCTAAGAAAAACAGTGAGCAAGCTGAGGCAGACGGAAAGCCTCCCTTCTGAGACGAAAGAGAAGAATGCAACAGAGCTGGGACTGCCAGTTTGGAGGGCACAGGCTTCCAGCTGCTTGCTTTTATATTAGGAATATTTTCTGTGGCGACTATATTGGTTTCAGAGAAAGTGGACTATATTATCGAATCAGATTTTTTTTAAAAAAAGTATTACAATGTATGTTTAAAGTGGCAGGTTTCTAGCACCATTTTAATTGATGGCCATTGTCTTCCTCCATACCACACCCTCCCAAGTGTCCAGTGGGTAGATTAAAATAGAAAAGGAATGCTGTGGGCAACACAATGATGCAGCCTTGGGCTGGGAGGGGGCAGGATCCAAAGCAGAGGGGCAGAGACCTGCCTCCGTCAGATTTCACCCCATTTAAGTCAGCGAAAGTCTTCCCTTGGAGTGACTGCGACAAGTATTGTGCCCCATGTTGTTTTATCACATTTTGGCAGAACCTAACGTAAATCCCTGTCCTTTTAATCCCTTTAGAGACTTGAAAATTTTGCAGTCAGAAAGTCAGGCTCTGCGAATGACTGCGAATGAGATAAAAATGTGATTAAGATTTTCTACTCTATCCCAGGTTACAATGGATGTTGTTCTATGAGAGATTTACTTGGAGAAAAATAGAACTGTTGGCAGCATACCCGGGAGTTTGAGCTTCCGGCAGCAGGAGTTGCAACGATGTTTTGCAATGAAGTTTCTAATTGCATCTTCCCCCAAATTGGCTGGTCCAAACACCATTCCTCTTGATCTAGAGGAAATATCAGAATATCAATTAGATCACAGCTAAGAAAAAGGAGCTCAACTAGGATTCTCTGAGATACCGAACAGTATCCCGTAGTAACCCAGTAAACTCGAAGGAGCCAACAAAGAACAGAGTACTTTGGGGAAGCAACAATGTTAGGTTTGCAAATTTAAAATTCAAATGCACTTAAATCTTTGTACCCAACTCCGAGACCTACTGTGAAACGCATTTCAACACTAATCTGATAGAAGAGTGAATTTTCCATGTACCACATTAAGACAAAATACAGCGAAACCCTTTTTAACGCATATGGGGTGAGAGAATGACATTCATTACCAAATGTTCTCCTAGAATACCCCAAAGGTAAGGTATAAAGTAAAAGAAATTTGCGATTGGAACATGCCTTCTAAAATGATGCATATACATTGTTTCCAACCTGAATGCTTTTCTTACAATAACCATCCTCAAAAACAAATACCAGACTAAACCCTAGATCCAGTAATCATGGCTCTTTCAAAAGTCACTTTCTACCCTGCAAACTGCTATATAGCTGGCCTCTTCCTAGAAAGACAAGACTATTAGATTATTAGATTATTGGATAATGTGATTATTAGATTATCAGATAATGTGATTGTGGAAGTAAACTACATATACTACATGTAGATGACAAAATTATAAATAGACTCAGTATATATAGGGCACATTTTGAATACTCTATAATAAGAGGTCCCTAGTAGATCCTAAGATCAATGTTCATCCATTATCACCTCAGGTACAACCATTATTCTACAGACTTTGACACCTTGCACACCACGGAACACAGCACACCAGAAACACTTCCCAAGAAACTTTACGAAAGCTAATATTTTATTTTAATGACATGCAGAGTGGAAACAGCACATTTTAAAATCTGAACTCAATTACTGCTCTTAAATACCACGTCTTAAGAAAAAAGAAAAGCAAACTATCACAAAAGGAAACAATAAACTTCGCTTCTAAGGAATGCGGTTTTTCAAAAGGATTGTGGTGTAAAAATGGACTTTTTTCCATCCAAGGACTGAAACATTTATCTCAATTTCCACTTCCTTTTGGCAGAATAACAGTAGCTCCTCTGAAGATGTGCCAAGCTCAGAATGAGGGCTGATGTCAGTTTGATCTCAGATTGCCTCTTTGCTCTGAGGCGAGTAGGTGGAGGAAATCTCTTGGGAAGACAAAGTGAACAGACACCCAGGATTAACTTTCCCGGTCACTCAATCGCTTTTACAAAGTACAGCTCTGGTGGTATTTACCCGGCTGCATAAGCTGCCTCCTGCTAACTATTCCCCTCTCTCTCTCTCTCTCTCTCTCTCTCTCTTTCTCTGTCCATCTGGTAAGGAGCCACTTCAATAAGGTGAAACTGAAGGTGGCAAAAAGTAGACTCACTTGGTATTTAGACCAGAATTCTCTGAAGCTGGTAAAGTGAAAACGAAGGCATTATTTTAGTCATTTCAATTGAAGAATTCCTTTTTTACAGTCTCTCCTGCGTGACCCTGTTGGGAATATTTCACTCATTTGCATTCCATACCTGCCATTTCTTCCCTCCCAGTAAAGCATGAAAACTCCCAACGTAGAGATGTAGCATTGATTCTCAGATAAAAACGGTACACTAAATCATTTCCCTCCTTCAGCTTTGTGAAAGTTAAAACAAAATAATCAAAATTACAACCAATGTACATATCAGGGGTTCAACTACTCCCTGTGCAGAGGAGAGTGAAGGGGGGCTGTAGGGACATTCATTTGCATCTATACCCTACAGCATGCCTAGAGCTTTGCAGTCTCAGATAACCAAGTTAAAAAAAAAAAAAAATACAAGTAGCTGTTTTCCAGATTTTTCACAACACAGGAAAAGCAGGTGGTAGCTTGGTTCCACATGCGAGGAAACGCTAATTAGTGCCATCTATACATAGATTTACTAAAGAACATCTCATCATCGTCTCATACTTGTCAAATGCCCAAAACCATCAAGGCAGTAAGCTAAAAAGATATAATCCCAAACTACCAATAACCAAGGCAGAAGTTTGGGGAGAGTTAAGAGACAATGGGCATTAGAAACAATATGAGAATTTACACCACAAAAACAATCTCTTTTGCTAGAGGATCATTCCCTTTCATTGACCCCTTTTCCTCCTAGGCAAATTACCATCTTCTCTGAGCTTCAGTTTCTCATTTGTGAACTGGGATTGAAAATGCTTACTTCCATTGTTGCTAAGGCTAACATATTATAAATAACATGAAAACACTTGCTTAAATCAGTGCTTCTCAAACTTTAATTTACACCCAATGACCTGAGGATCTTATGAAAATTCAGATTTTGGTTCAGTAGGTCTCGGGAGTTTTCTGAGATTCTGCCTAATAATGTCCCAGACGATGCTGATGTGGTTGATCCGTGGCCCATGCTTTGTGTAGCAAGGGCTTCAACACAGAAGGCATTCAAAAATGTGAGCCTCATCAAACTAATTAGATGTAATTCCCTACGATCATGAGAAAATAGCATTCCTTGTTATCTTGACCATGAAGACCAACTGCACCCAAAATTGGGTGACCCCACAAAACCAGGCCACAATGATGCCATCCCATCAGTATCCTCAAGTCATACAAAATAAAAGTTGCCATAAGACAGAGGCTGCCCACAGAATCATATGGGGAACTTTTAAAAAATACAAGCATCAGGGCCCTATCTTCAGAGATTCTAATTTGATGCCAATCCTGGGCATCTTTTTTTTTTAAAGTTCCCCAGGTGACCTTAATAGAAATTGAGACCCACTGGCCTATAGAATGCAATTAAATATTCAACTGTCAAGTGGGATAATATAATTTTAAAATTCTAAAAGATGGAATATTCAGGTCATATTAAATGACATATGCCAAGGTCAAAATTTAATAAATGATAGACAGTATACATAAACTTGGTTCATTATATATGTAAAAATTTTTACTGCAAAATTATAAAGAAAGTACTTACAAGTTTCCTACTACTAACTCTTGGGCACACAGGGCTACTGAAGAAATAACATTCTTAGCTAAAAACACTTTAGCTCTGCTAAAGTGAAAAATAACAATGTCTTTATGTATACCCTAAAGGTTACAACATGGGCTCCACGGTCAAATAAATATCATAGAAATTAGATGCATATGAGCAATATGGATCACTTTTACCTTGTCTACCTCGCCTAGTCCAATTAAATGTGTAATACACTTTTAGGAGATGGACCTCTTTGCATAGAAGTCTACATATTTAAGAAGCCAGGTGTGGTAGCTCACACCGTTAATCCCAGCACCTTGGGAAGCCAAGGTGGGAGGATCGTTTGAGGCCAGGAGTTCAAGACCAGCCTGAGCAACACAGTGAGGCCCCCATCTCTACAAAAAAATTTAAAAAATTATCTGGGCATGGCGGTGCATGCTTGTAGTCCCAGCTACTCTGGAGGCTAAGGCAGGAGGGTCACTTGAGCCTGGGAGTTGGAAGTTGCAGTGAGCTGTGATCACACCACTGCACTCTAGTCTGGTGACAGAGACCGTGTCTCAAAAAAAAAAAAAGAAACCTACATATTTAGGTTAAATCATTCAGTAAAAGAACAGAGCATTAATGCAGTGAACACAATATGAGTTCTGTGGGAAGGAAAGTAAACACTTCAGGTTGTATTGTATTGGGAGTGGCCAGTTATATAGTTTATATATATTTTCTATCACCCAGGAATCAAGTATAGACATTTATGACAACTAAAAAGTAAAAACGCTGTGTGCTAGCAGTTCTCAAAGAGTGGTCTTTGGAGTATCAAAATCACCTGGGGACTTGTTAGAAACACAGATTATCTGACTCCACCCCAAAACTACTGAATCAGAAATTCGAGGGGTGGGGGGCCCAGCAATCTGTGTTGTAACAAGCTCTCCTGGTGATCATGATGCAAGCTCGTGTTTGGGAACCACTACTGTCTGCCATGCTGATCAACGCTTAATGAGCACCATCACTTCTTCCTTCTCCGCCATTAACAGAAGAACATAACCTCGGATTCTCTGCTGTCAAGTCTTCCCCAAAACTTGCTTATGGAATAAAATGCCATGGGAATTCAAGGACATGCGGGTGACTCATCCCTTTATATAATTTAAACTTCAGCTACGAATTAATTCAGATAATCTGCTACTTCATATTTAAGCGCATTGTTTTGGCGTCTCAGATTTGCTATTACTAAAGAGCACACTTTATGCCCTCAGTTTCATTTCATACGCATGTGATGGAAGATGCCGTCCATGGTAAGATGCAATGACTCCATTGTGAGGGCAACAAAGGAATCTGTGCTTCTCCTATGATGATAATTTTCATGTCAAAGCCTGTAGAGGCTAAACTTGCCCATATTTTTCTTGTGTTTCAGCCACTAGAACACTCAGAGTAAAATCTGCAACCAAATTCTGACTACTGCACTGGTCCTTATAATTTCCATTTATGTGCATTAACTTAACTCCAGATTTAATCTTATTTTATGTCCATGTTTTCTTTTTACCCCTATTCCGTAATCTATGCTTTTTTAAAAATCTCATTATATTGGGTCTATATACATAAGCTGCCTCAAAACCTTTCTAGGATCTAGGCAAGAAACTATATGTTTATAAATTATTTTTAAAAACCATTTACAGTGTGTTAAATGCAATTTTCTAAATGATAACACATAAATTAACTTACTGTTTGTCTTCAGGTTTTATAACAGATGGATCTGTCAAATTTTCTCCAACGCCTCAAAAGAAGAAACAAAATTCATTTAGCAAATGGAGGTTTCATTTTCTTAGAAATTCAAGAAGATAATAATTAAATCCTAATTTCTTATTTTAAAATTCACAGTCACTCTGTAGTAAATTACACATCATGTAAATTAAATGTACTATAAAAACTGTCCAGAAGTCTTTGAAAATTTACATTAATGCACTGTCTCCCCCTATCCCCTCTGTTATAATAAACTTCTAGGCCACAAATGAATGTTTTAGTAGTGTGTTTGCTATTACCAATAGTGGCATCTGTCATTCATTTATCACTTGTATATACTAGACATTCTGTATTTCATTTTTCTTGAATTATTAGCAATTGTAAAAGAAGAGTATTATCCTCTGTCCTTATTTTACATCTTATTCTCATTTATATCAATGAGTGCATTGATGTTCAGAGAGATTATGTCATTTGTCAGAGACTGCACAGCCCAGGCATGGTCACAACAGGATTGAAGCTGAGCCAAAGCTTGTGTTCCTCCCACTAGCCTGTGGTCTCCTTAGGTGGACTCCATCAGTGCTCAGCAAGGTGCATGGTGCTGTATAATTTTGCAAGTACAACCTCTATTCCATCAAAGAGACACATCAAATGCTATATATAGATAGTATTTATAAACAGTAGAATAAAAATGACAATTCTTGATCTGGGTGCTAGTTATACCTGTATGCTCAGTTGTGAAAATTCTTTGAGAGGTAGGCTTACACTACATGCATTTTTCTGAATGTATGTCAGTCTTCAATAAAATTTACCCTTTAAAAAATGACACCAAAGCCTAAAAGGATAACATAGGTGCAATTTAAAGCTGAAATTTATCAAAACAGAGATCAAAGCGAATCTCATAAAATGCAAACAATGAGGAGGTTGATTTCCAATGGTGGTAGCATTTTAGGTGCACCAGTTAGACAGGTGAATGTACCATTTGGGTACATTCCAAATTGTACACAATTGTGCATAATCCAAATTGTGCAATTTCCGAAATGATTCCCTAATCAGCACTGGCTCTCTTTGTTTGAAAGAGACCAGCCTTATGGAAAGATTATTTAAAAATTATATGAAATTTATAACATCGTTATGTATTTCTACTTATTAAAAAGACCCATGTTTTCTAATCTTTTTTAAAAAACTCATGTTTTCTAACCTTAAAAAGATTTTTGCTATGTTCTGTATGTTTTACAATATGCTAAACTTTCACAAGAAACTGTCATCCTTATAGACGTTTACCCTAAGAAACTGACTTCCTTAGGAAAATAACATGGAGTAACCTAGACCTTGGAGTAGGAGTTTTCAACGTTTTTTGTGTTACGATCCTGTTTGTAAATCTGGGAAAACTAAGGGAGCCCATTCTCAGAATAATGTTTGAAAATACATAATTTAAGTACATAGGATTATAAAAGAAACCAATGATACCGAAATACAGTTATCAAAATGTTTAAATACTTGTATTGGAATACATGGCTTCTTTATTAATACACTAAATAACAGGATCTAGCATAGGTCTATAAACTACTATCACATCCAAGAAGTGGCAAATATAAACAGTATTTTGAGCTATCTACCAACATTGTAATATGCTATGTTACCATCTATAATTTCTATTGCAAACAGTCACAGGTACCACTAATACCACTGTGGTTTGTGGTCTACAACATAACGGAAGGAAATGATGAATTTCAGTCACAGGTCAGTGAAGATAAAGGTGTAATGTATTTCCTCATCAAAGTGTACAGACCCTCTGAATTCTATCCTGGGACCCTTTCAGAACCCCTGGCTTAGAATCTCTTTGTGCGTAGATTTTGAATAGGGGTGGAGAAAGCAAGGCTGAAACACAAGCACAAGGGCAAGTGTGCAAAATGTGCTTTGCTCAGCCCATATTCTTTTTAAATAAAAAGTCATAGGAAGAAGCTGGGCTCTTTATATTTTTCTCATCACATATATAAGAAGGAACAGCGTAGAGAAACCCTGCTTTTCTAACCATGGAGAAAATAAACAGAATGACAGACAGAAAGATGACCCTAACACCATCAGTAGAGAGATTAAAGGCTACAAATCCTTTACCTGTTTAAGTGCAGACCTAACTTTAAGCCTGAAGTTTACAGCAAGGATGAAAGCCTTAAGCTGATGTCTGATGAAACTGTAAGTTTAAGCTAGGAATATGCACAGTGTCTAAAGATGTAATGTCGATTAGGATAAAGGGAGTTTTGTAGGAACAAAAAAAAAGTCTGTCAAAATCGCATCAGTCTTTGTTTAGTTTAAATCTTGTTGCTCGTGAGGCAGAAGTGAAGGGATCTGGGTTCCACCCACAGCTCCATCACCTTCTAGGTGTGTAGCCTGGATACCTTCCTTAACCTCTCTGAGTCTCAGTTTTGTCATCCGAAAGTGTGAATAATTATAGCCCTTGTCTTCCAGAGTTACTGAGAGGATTAAATGAATCGTTGTACACAAACTGCTTAGCAAAGTATGTGACCCATAGGAAGCTAAAAAATGTTAACTGTTATTTTTATTATCTTTCTTCTATCAAAGACCTCTTGGGAAGTGAAACTTTACTTTTTTACCATTGTAAAATCATGTTTCTAATTATCTCAGCACTATGTTTTCTAATGAACAGAACCCCTTATAAGAATAAGAGTGAGGAGTATCCACAAACTTTATACCACTAAATCCAACCTGACAGTTCAAGATTAGCTAATAAATGCATATTTTCGGGCCCTCAAGTGGCAGAAGGACCTTCCGAAGTATGAAAACCAGGCAAGGCAGAGCTCCAATAGTACCAGCAGCATTCACACAATCATGCCGCACCACCGGCTATCTCTCCCGGGTACACAGGAATCACCAAACTGGCAAAGTTTAACATCAGAGCTCCTCCTACCCACATATTCTACTTAATATTTGGAAAACATGGAAAAAAATAAGACATTTTTACATCTGAAAATCCCAAACATATCTCTTTACCAGCTTTACCAGAGTAAATGCCCATGCCCAGAGAATATGCAGCCTGCCCTTACAAGCAACTCAGAGAAACACATTCTGACCCAAAGCACCTCTGGGTACATCTACATCTGCGGAAAGAAGCTACCTTCTTCGTAGCAGCAGAATTCACAATGTTGATGCTAATGCTGACTTATTCTGGAAACTATTTTGTTGAATAAAGAATTAATATCTCCAGAAGACCTTTGAAAAATAATGAGCTAAAAAAAAATCGCTATGAACCATTATAATTTGAAATATAATTATTTTTAATTTCCATTGCTGGGAATTAAATGTTAGATTTTAAAAGTAATGATGATGATTCGAGCCCTCACACGTAGGGTTTTTAAGTGGAAAGAGACCAGAAAACTTCAGTCTAATTACAAGTGATTGGAAATTGGTCACGCCTCTCCTTAGAGTACAGCTTCCTGGCCTGGTGTGGCAGCTTCTGGGTTAATGATTGTCACTCCCTTGGAAGAAAGCAAAGAGGGGAAGAAAAGAAGAAAGTGAAAGGATAGACTCCCCCAGTTATTTCTCACTCCTTTCCCTCAAAGCAGTGGGGAGCCATAGCACACTAATCAGGTCCTTATTCTACAGAGGCCAAAACTGGAGTCTCCCTGCAGTACCGCCAACATCACACAGCTGTGGGTAGAGTCCCCACAACTGAAGATGAACCTCCATTTTAAAGAGTCACACAGAGATTAATAATAACAAAAACAATAACATTTATTGAGGGCTACGTGTCAGGAACTTGTCTCATTTCAGCCCCTTAGCAACCCTACGACTTGAGTGCATAATATTATTTTCCCCATTTACAAATGAGGGAAGTGGAACTCAAGGTAGTAGCTCTGCGGACCATGCAGCTAATTCATGGTGGGGCCAGGAGTCAGACCCCAGCACCGCAACTCCTGAGCCCTCCTCCTCACTGCTGCCCCTGAGCCTCTCCACCTCCACTCCCACCACCCAGGCAATGCACATCGTCTCTCCAAAGACTAGAAATACAAATAAATGAAATACAATACAAAACTGAACTAAAAACTGTTAAGAGACTTTAAAAATACATTATATTTTCCCCATTTTTCCTTTCCAAGCTGGTTTGGATTAAATACAATAATACACATAAGCCTTTAGTCAAGTGGCTGGCACAAAATAAGTACTTAGTAAATGTTAGCTAATACTATAGTAGTAGTAGTAGTAGTAGTAGAACTGTTTATAATTGCTATTATAGGATTCATGTTGTTCCACAAATTCAGGCCTAACCAATTGGGCAAAACTCTCCAATAAGTATCTCAAATTTCATTACGCTCATTCTGTGATGTCCACTCTTCCCTTCTTTGAAGGTCAATGTTTTGACACAGTTTATTTGGAGTGGCCTATTTCTGCAATTCACATAATTGTCCAGTAAAAGAATAAAGTCAATTCCCTTTTCCCCCCAAGACTATCAACACAGCATTTGTTCTGTTTAATGTCACTTTGGATTACTAAGAGACATAAAAATCCCCAAACATAAACATCATTAAACAAAAACCTATTTAAGTGGAATACAAAACACACTGAAGAGTCATCATTAATTCCTTAAAGTTTTTCTTTGGTTGTTTTTTTGTTTCTGTTTTTCCTTTTTAAACAACTCCACCCAAAGCTCAAAGCACAAACAGTCAAGTACAGATGAAAACAATTTTTCCCCAACTTGAGCTACAAAAACAGATGCCTTGGGCATCAGTGCTCTGGGTTTATATGGATCAAGTACTTGCTGGTTTAAAAGCTGAATCATCTCCGTCATTTTAACTTTGTTTATATTGCTTCCTAAAATACTGTATCTGAGGGTTAGAAATATAATTCAACCCTGTGAACAGCCGAAATCTCAAAGGACAGAAGTACTTATATGTAGTTTAAAAATTGCCTATGCATCCTTGAGCATGTGACTTAAATTTCAATCAATGTGACTTTGCAGTCTTACTAGACTTTGCTTACGATGCCCCAGGACTGTCTGTTTATCTGGACTTTCCCCAGCCTGCAAGCCTGGCTTTCAGCATAGACTCCCAGAACTGGAGAGCTAGGAATTCCGGTCAGAGAGGAAAAGAAAAAGGCCCACGTTGTTTAAATGAACAATAAGATGGTTATATCCTCTAGATGTGAAACTCTTAAGGAAATAAAAGATAGTACAGTGGAAAGAAAAGAACGTGGATGGTCAAACCAGCTTAGGTCTGCATCCTGGCTCCCCCTTAAGCAGCTGTGCAACATTGGGCCAGTTATTTAAACTTTCTGGGCCCAAATTCCCCATAATATACACCTCAAGGTGCTGCTTCTGGGATTAAATGAGATAACTTCTATGAAAGTTCCTGGGCTAAATCTCTTACGTAAAACCAAAGCCCCAGTCAGTGAGCCCAAGGACTAAACTTTGGCCTTAATACACATTTCGTTCTGTCTCTGCACGGAAAGCCTGCTGGAGATACTCTGTGCTGTAGGATTACACGTCACTGTGAGGTGCTGATAGTAGAGAGATGTGCTGATCAAAAGTTTCCCTTAAATAAGAGTGCACTGTGTTGCCTCTCTCAGACTGAGTCCACACTTTCATGAACTGTTAAATCAAGGGACACAGCAAAGAGAGCAAACTAAATTACAAATTGCTAAAGCAATGATCTTAAAATCATGAAAAATACCCAGAATTTAAACTTTCCTGTACGTATTAAATACATACCTAAGCTTTATTGTGAACATAAGACTAAGGTAAAGGCATAAAATTGAAAAAATTGGTATAAAAATCACTCTCCCATTTAGCTCAAAATTTCAGATGTCTTTAAATTTTAAGCAGCTAATCACCTGCTTACATTTTTCACTCTGTCTAAGTGGGAAACAACAAAGTAGGTACCATGGTCATTACTGTACAGTGACTCTGAAACAAATGTCCCCACGTCCCTTCAAAGGTACATAGAGCAACTTCATACGTTGCCCATCCTGGTTCTTACAAGATCTCTTTACACTTTGCCTCATGCTTGTTTTAAGTCCTACATCATCAATCACCTTGCAAATCTAAAACCAGAAACTCTCCCCGTGTATACTCATAGGTCCAGTGAGAGAAAGCCAACATCAGCTCCTCCAGGGTGTTGCTGGGGGTGATTTCATCACCATTGTTGTTGTTGTACTTCCGGAACTCCCCTGTCATGTACTTCTCAATGGTCAACCATTGGTCGGCTGAATGGCAGTAGATTAAGAAAACTTCCAGGAACCTGCCAGGAAAAAAGAGGCCATTGATCCCCCACAAGACAGCAAAAGCAGGATTTATCTTACTGCACAGTCAGTAGCAGCAAAGCTAACCTAATGCTAGTCTGATGCAATCTCAATGCACATGCCCTTGCCTTTTTTTATGGAAAGATGGGATACAAAGATTAAGAGCTTTTCCCCACATTTACCCACCTCACTTCCCTTTGAGGAAACTTTCCAACCCTTTTATGAGTACTGGACCCAACTTTTCTTACTGTGCTTTATAATGTTCCTTGTAAATGAAACAATAAAGCTTTATAATAAGTCCTCAGCACCAAATTATGATGTGTCTCAATAAATGAATGCAAGTGTACAAAGACAAGTGAAAGTCACAAGAGTTCATTCTTACGAAGTTCCTAATTTCTATAAGATATTGGGGGAAGAAACCATGCTTAAAATAGAAATGTTTTCCTGCCATAATGCTCCTGGACATTAGTAACTACACCCAGAATCTGTCTGTTTCACATAATTTAAATGTTATTCATGAGCTCTGCCTGAACTTCTTTTTTCTACTCACATAAGTTCAGTGATTTAAGCCAAGGTATTGGCTAATTGGCTAGAATGTCTAATTTTCCTTCTACCAGTCTCCAAAATTATGGAAGGAAGAACCCAAAAATAAGGTCATAGGGAACGTCCCCAGGGGTCTGATTTCTCATGACTAATGGGCTGAAAAGAGATTGATAGAAATCCCTGGTGAAATAAAGGACCAAGATGACAAGATCTCCTTACCTCGGCATGTAGGGAATGGTTTGTGGCTTCACTTGGTTGAAGGTATAGATCAGTTTTTGAGCAGCTCTTTGTTGTTGAATTTCCTACAAAATGGGGAACATTGATAAAAACGTTGGTTTACTACCACACACCTATGATTATAATGTGATTTTTAGCTGTATTGATCTCCCACCACTCCCCACCCCAAAAGCAAAAGCTCTACAAAGTCAAAAGAACAAAACCTACAACCTCTAAAAAAATAATGGGCTCCCCTTTGGGTTGGAGATAATGGCCTTAGATATGATGCAGCCAGACCTCTCTTCTTTGGCCTGTCCATCTGGACTATGGATCTCTGAGTATCAGACTTACCCTGAGGCAAAGATGAAGCACAGTACTCTCCTGGAAGATTTTATGCCACGTCTCCACAACCTCAGGCAGAAAGGACTTCACAATGAAAACCTGTCCTGGCTTGAGAACGTCATCCTCGGACCAAGTGCTGATGACTCTCATGGCTTTGCGGAGGCCACCACCCATCTCCTCTTGGGACAGCACCTGGATCATTGCAGCTCTCCCATGCTGGGACCAAGAGGACATGCTTTTATCAAGGTTCAAAGGGGAACTCTCCTCCAGCCTGTAGATAGTTATTTCTTCTCCTGCTGCAAAGAAGAAGGTGAGGGGTTCAATGGGATCCCTGTGTCTGCGACATGGGCAGCATCCCAAATATCAGTGCAGAATCAGTTCAGTTGCCCAAATAATCACAAGAGAATGGAACTAGCAGGGACTAGAGCAGAATAAGAACAAGGATATCTGACCATGATTCCACGTTATTTATTGTCTAGTAAATCTGGGAAGGTAGAAAAGGGACAAAGTGCCAGAAGATACACAAGAATTAAGTTGTTCTTACTAGAGACAATAACTGGACAAAAACAAAATCAAAGTGGTAAGAATATGCTTCTTTTGTTAAAGACAAATACTCCTAAAGAGACTGTTTAACCTCGTGTCTTTATTATCATCCCCCTAAGGAGCCTTATTAGACATTTTTCTAATTGCTCTTCCCATAACATATTAATACAGGTTGAGTATCCTTTATCCAAAATGTCTGAGGCCAGAAGGGCTTCAAATTTCAGGTTTTTTTCAGATTTTTGGAATATTTGCATATACATAATGAGATATCTTGGGGATGAGACCCAATTCCAAACACAAAATTCATGTATATTTCTTATATACCTTATACACATAGCCTGAAGGTAATTTTACATAATATTTCAAATAATTTTGTGCATGAATCAGAGTTTTAACTGTGTATTGACGATGACCTGTCACATGAGGTCAGGTGTGGAATTTTCCACTTGTGGCATCATGTCAGCACTCAGAAAGTTTCAGATTTTGGAGAATTAGGAGTATTGAATTTTTGGATTAGGAATCCTTATCCTGTATTAAAAATTACTGTCTATCTGCTTAGGTACTCTATGTAGCTCTGTGCATTATACCTAAAAAAGAAAACAAGGATTTTGGGCTTTTTTTTTTGTTTTTTGCTCCCTTTGTGTGATATTGAGAATGCATGGTTTAACCCAGCTGAAGTCAGACAGTACCAAGGTCATACTCCAGAGCTTTCCCCTCTCTCCTTTGCACCTTGGGACAAGTTACATAAAGTCTCAATTTCCTCATCAGTAAAATGGGGATGAAAATAATGTCCATTTCATTGGGTTGTTGTAAAGATTAAATAGCTTAACATGGTTAAAGTGAAGTAGAATCTCAGATACAAACTCAATACCACTTGAGGATTTCAGATACAAAATGCTACTTAACTGCTATAGAGTGTCTACTTCTAGGCTGCCGAACAGGGAGCAATTCTTACTGAGCCTAGACTTTACTAATACAAGGTTAACACATTAACTGCCACGTGAGTTGTATTTAACTCGCGCTCGTTTTGAGCCCAGGGCCTAGTGAAGCATATGTAACTCATACTTCTCTTCACCTTGGGAGCCACACGAACTATTTTTCAAGTTGCATATAACTCACGCACAGAAAACAATAAAAAAATAACAAATATTTCATTAAATTAGAAAGGATCATTTTGTTTTTGAAGTTTTTATTCTATTTTTGTAATAAAAAACCGTGGCCCCAAAGAAAAAGATTTTTTTTCTAGTGTGTCAGTCAATGTGTTAAATACTCATTAACAGAGATAACATAATCTATACACAGCTTCTGTTGAGGCTGTGTTTCATTTCCTCCTTACACCTTTGCTTCAAATGAGTTTTTTTGGTGAACACTGTACTGGTTTACCAAGAAAGAACTCTATTCTCTCACTCTTGCACCTCATTCCTTACCAATGAACACATCTAGGTAATGCTTAGTAACATATTTTCAAACATTAATTCTTGGTGCCCAGATAAATAAATGCCACTTTAGATCTCTTTGGCATTCTAAACCCCTAGAGGCTTTAGAGCAGAACTATTGATTTGCAAAACCAGCCATGAAGCCAAGTGGAAGGAAAAGGCATCTGCATTAGCCCTCTGAAGCCAACCTGGTCTGTCCCACATGTGAACAGTGTAAGGAGAACCAAGATCAAGGACAGTGTAGGGACATTTATTATATTGTCAATTGTCTCACGCTTTCTCCTGCCAGACAGAGAAACTTTGGTAGCGCTGGCTAATGTGAGCTTGTTTTTCTTTACTGCTCCAGCCTTTAAGAATGGCATCTGTGGTCTGAGGTAAGAGCAATTAGTGTACACAAAACAAAACAAACAAACAAAAAACAATACACAAAGCATTTCTCTTCACATGCCTGTTGGCTTTCACCATATTGACATTTATCGCTTTCTTCTGTGCTTATTACACATGGCTGGTTTGTTCTTTTCTTTCCTACTTACTTCCAGCCTTGAGTCAGCGGATGCCAGGTGCAACATTATTGCTTTCTTCCCAACTGCTGCTCATCATTGGTCCCATCCCCACAGTATTCAATTTTGACCCTACATGCTGGCCGTGGCAGTTAACAAGAGTGTTCGTTTTAGGAACAAATCTCACTAAACTACAACCATCAGCAAAACAAAACTTCCAACTAAAATGAAGCAACGTGATTTCTCCTTTGATTTACTCAGATGGTTATGCCTCTGCCCTGGCATAGCCTCAGGAAGGTAGAAGTGCTACTCACCAAACAGTTGGATTGGTGTAAATGGTATGGTCTGAGAGAGCCTCATTAAATTATTCCTTTCAATGGCTGCAAACAAAAAGAGATTTCCTATTTTAAGTATGCACCAGTGGCTTGGATTTACAGAAAGACTCTCCACATCGATATATTCAGATAATGCTAAAATATTTAATTTCAAAGACCCCCTTATTTTTGCCATTATCAAAAATATTATCTATAATATTTAAAAACAAACCATGCCTTAGGAAGCATATCCCAGTCTTAGAAACATTTTACATGAGATTATATCACATGGTCTGAGGTAGAGCTATCACCTCCACTCTCCTGAATGTCAAATCACATACTAATCCATACATAGGTGGGACTTTCTTTTAAATGGCATTCGAATCTGTGGTCTTCATTCTCTGGCTTTCCTTTTCCGAAGCAAATCCAACACGCAGTGGACTGTGGAGACACCTACTGTTCACTTTGCACAGTTCACCTTCTTTTCCCAGAAAGCGCTGAAGACCGATTTTAATTAGAAGCAAGTGAAGTGCATTTTCCTGTTATGAGCCATACCCTAACAGACCAGAGTCACTGTGAGTTTCAGTATTCCTCACCAGAGACTTCATCTTAAGTTGACAGTCAGAGTCAAAATAATAGATAAATGCTGAGCTGAAAAGCCCAGTTATAAGAGCCTGGAATGAGGAATCTGGAATCTTCTGAAACACTTCACTCCAGAGGGGAATTCAGGATAAGGCAGTCTATTACTGGCCCCTGAACGAATGACCTTGATATCATTATAGCGGCAATTATAGCACCAATAAGCTCTTATGCATGTACCAAGCTTCAGATTGTGTAAAAGCTTTGCCTGTGTATTATGTCATCCAACACTAAGAGCAATGAACCCCAAGGAACCACCTAATGGCACAAGTCCAGTTGGTTTTATATTGCTTTGCATTTCAAAGTGTTTTCCTCTTAATTCTCAACTAGCCCTTTGGCAGGCTGTTCCTCAGGAAGGGCAAGTACAATGATTCCCACTTTGAAAGACAGACAACTGAAGCACTGTGAAGTGATGTTTCTTAAGAGAGTCGAGACCCTTAACATCTTTGTTTAATAACATCTTTGTTGAACTTACTCTGTGAGATTGGCATTCACTCAGTGGTCATGTTCACTGAGGGCCCAGTGAGGGTACAAAACGATCCCTCAACCAGCAAACTTTCAGGTCTGTTTTTTCCCCATACAAAACACTAAAAGCTCTGGCTTTGGGCTGGCTTTGAGCTTGTAAGGAACTTTTAGATCCCAAGGTCATCTTTCACCTTCACAATTTGGAACTTGCCAATACAAACATTTTTCAAAAAATCCAAATTTTCTTAAATCCTGAAAACTTGTTTTCCCAATTCAATGGCAAAGTGAGAAATCTGAATGTTTTTCCCATTAGAATGAACAACTTTTCAAGTTGAGAACCACACAAATAATACAGAATTCATCAATGTCTCTGTTTACAAATGCAGAATCACAGACATTTAGTTCAGTTGACACGTCTATGTGCACGTGCATCCTACCTGAATAATGATGCTGGGGCTCTTGAGGGCTTTTTAAGGAGGCTGAGATCTCTGAAATTATAGAGAAGATTGGCATTTTAATTACTTGGCTGGAGATAAATACATGCTTATGAATATATTGCCTTCAAAGTTTTTATTGAACAGGTTAATCAGAATGGCTTCTCAGTATTTGAAAAAGCTTGCCTAATATCCTTTAACCACATTATTGTGCATGGTATCCTGACAGCTTCCAATCATCAATGTAATATCTGCAAACATATTTATATAGGGAATTGGAGAAAGACAGGTAATATTAGCCTCAAAGATGTATTTCCTCTGAACCAATTACACCTCTGGGTTGCAGAAGGCACGCAGCTGCCCATCATACTTCACGACATCCCAGAAGCACGATTCTCTGAGCTCCCTACCAAGATGCAGAACCCATACGAAGACATTATTAATACCAAGTTATTAGGAGACTACTTCACTGACCTAAAATAACAACAAAATGATGAAAACACATTAAGAGCTATATCCCAGAAACAAAGGAGGGGTTCGATAATATAGCACCAAGAGATTTGTTTGGTTACACAAAGACTGTGTGTTGGGAACACCTCCTCCAAGTTTAACTCATTCTCCTTTATCTGCTCCAGCCCTAAATGACAAAGCTCCAGAGAAATCATTTGCAACAGTTTTGCCATTTCATAAAATCAAAATTAAAGTGGAGAACTTTTTGTCTCATGGTGGCAACTGCTTGATACCTAGTAGAGTAAGCAACATAATGAGCCCAATGGCACAGATCTCTTCAGCTTCTTGTTGCTGGATCAGGAAAGGAACAAGAATCATTTCCTTTGGGGAGGACTAGTAAAAAGTAAGATCAGCAGAAAAGACTCCTCCTTTCTGAATTCATTCAATAAAAGGAAAAAATATTTAGCTCCTACTGTTGGTCACGCTAGGCATGAGAGATGTCAATAAGATGTGGTTTCCATGCTATGAAGAAAGCAAATACACTACAAAAGATATAATTATAATCACAATAAAGTTTGCTAAGTAATAGCAGTGGTATATATTAGCAATATATACCAATGTATATATAGCAATGTAATAGAGGTATATAAGGATTATGGAACACACTATTCCATCTAGAAGGTAGGACCTCCATAAACAAACAGTATGAAACACTTAAAGCGTGTGGTCATCTGAGTCTGACAAAGCTAAATTTCAATCCTGGCTTCACCACTTACGGAGCTGTGAAACCTCATTCATATTTATTCAGCACGTATTTATTAAGCACCTACTGTATGCTGGGCACTGAGCTATGCTCAAGAGAGAGCAATAATCAAAACAGATAAGGTCTCTGGCTACATTCTAGTAAAGGGAAATAGAAAATAAATAAACACGTAAATGTATAGTATATACAGTATAGTATGTGTGTCTTATATACATCAAGGTAACAGGGTTAGAAAGTATGGGGAACAGGAAAGTTGCTATTTTACATAGGGTGGTTAGGCAAGGCCTCTCTGATAAGATGAAACTCGATCACAGCCTAAAGGAAGAGAAGGGGTGAGGTATATGGATAAATGAAGAGTATTCCAAGCAGAGGTAACAGCAAGTACAAACACCCCGATTCAGGTCCATGCTTGCCTCATTTAAGGAGGAGAATGTGGCCAGAGTTTAGTGCACTGAATGAGGATGGAGAGTTGCAGGGAAGCAGAACAGAACCTATAAACTGTGTTTGGACTTTGCTTTTTTTTTTTTTTTTTGAGACAGTCTCACTCTGTCTCCGAGGCTAGAGTGCCGTGCTATCAGCCTAGCTCACAGAAACCTCAAACTCCTGGGCTCAAACAATCCTCCTGCCTCAGGCTCCCCAGTAGCTGGGACTATAGGTATGTGCCACCATGCCCGGCTAATTTTTTCCTATTTTTGGTAGAGATGGAGTCTCGCTCTTGCTCAGGCTGGTCTCGAACTCCTGACCTCAAGCAATCCTCCCGCCTCGGCTTCCCAGAATGCTAGGATTACAGGCGTGAGCCACCATGCAGGGCCTTGGACTTTGCTTTTACAAAGTGAGATGGAACACGGCCGGGTGCAGTGGCTCACACTTGTAATCCTAGCTCTCTGGGAGGCCGAGGCGGGAGGATTGCTTGAGGTCAGGAGTTCGAGACCAGCCTGAGCAAGAGCGAGACCCCGTCTCTACTAAAATTAGAAAGAAATTAATTGGACAACTAAAAATATATAGAAAAAATTAGCCGGGCATGGTGGCGCATGCCTGTAGTCCCAGCTACTCGGGAGGCTGAGGCAGGAGGATTGCTTGAGCCCAGGAGTTTGAGGTTGCTGTGAGCTAGGCTGACGCCACGGCACTCTAGCCTGGGCAACACAGTGAGACTCTGTCTCAAAAAAAAAAAAAAAAAAAAAAAAACAAAGTGAGATGGAACACGATTTGAGCAGAGTGACTAGGTTCAACTTTCAGTTTAAAAGGATTATTCCAGCTGCTTTCTGGAACGAGACTATTGGAGAGCAATAGTTTGGAGGCCATACCATAATCCAAGGAAGAGATGATGGTAACTTAAAATATGCTGTTTGTGGAAGTAGCAAAGTGACCAGATTCTTGATATATTTTGAAGGATTTACTAATGGACAGGATATAGGGGTGTGAAAAACAGGGGGACAAGTATGACTACAAGATTTTAGTCTCTGAAACTGGAAGGATAGCATTGCCATTTCCTGAGATGAAGGAGGATTGTGTTGGAACATTTTGTTTGAGATCCCTTTTAGACTCCTACATGGAGGTGGTAATAAGTGGATGATCATATTCTGCAAGGCAGAAATAATGAATGAAAGGGATCATAAATATGAGCCTGGAAATTTGAACTAAGATCAGGTTGTCATGAGCACTGAAAAAAACTCAGGGGTTTGCAGTCAATCCTTAGGCAACAGGGAGACATCGAAGACTTTTACATGAGTGATGATTTATCATTCAGAAAGATAACTCTGATAGGAACACAGGAAAGTTTAAAGGTAAAGAAATCAACCAGATGCTAACACAAACTCAAAGGAAAATGAAAGTATATACCTTTTATTTAGGAAAATAAATGTTGGCAGTTTTAAAGCTGGAGCAGTGGGATAGAACACAGATAACTTTAAAGATGGGGGGGTAGAATGGAGTTAGAAAGCAAGATTGATAGCTAAGAGCGATGGGGTGGGAAGAAGATTGTAAATGACTAATATTTCTAGCTTGGGTAAAGGGAGAAGAGGCTATGAGATAGAGCAAAAGCAAGTCAACAAACAAAAAGGACACCCAGAGAAGCACAGCCTTAAGGGAACAGAAAGGAGACAGTGTCAAGTAGAAAAAATGGTCAACATCAAATGCCACAAGTTCACTGAGGACTAAAAAGAGGTCAAGTGACTTAGCAGTTGGAGTGAGTTTCAAGAGAATGACAAGGACAGACACCATGGGCTGAAGATCAAATGTTATCATTTTTTCAATTAATTTAGAGATGAAGGGTAGGAGTGACAGTTTGAAAGCTAGGTAAATCCAAAAAAGGACTATTTTTCCTTCTGTATAGAAAATGACTTAAGGTCAGGCATGGTGGCTCACACCTGTAATCCTAGCACTCTGGGAGCTAGGCAGGAGGATCACTTGAGGTAAGGAGTTTGAGACCACACTGAGCAAGAGTGAGACCCCATCTCTACTAAAAATAGAAGAATTAGACAGGCGTGATGCTGTGAGCCTATAGTCCCAGCTACTCAGGAGGCTGAATCAGGAAGATTGCTTGAGCCCGGGAGTTTGAGGTTGCAGTGAGCTGTGATGACACATCATTGCACTCTAGCTGGGGCAACAGAGCAAGACTCTGTCTCAAAAAAAAAAAGGAAAGGAAAAAGAAAATGACTTAATTCTGGTAGTAAGTTGAAGAAAAGAAATCAACAACAAAGGAAGTACTGAAAACTTGAGAAAACGAGAACAAGACCATAGAAGATGAAGGTGCCTACTCTACATCAAGAATGTGGAAAGGAGCTCATAGACTGTGGTAAAGTTTGAGAGCAGCTATGAAGAGTGGTTTACCAGAGCTGTCTCAGGTGACCTAGTCCTATTTAGCCATTTGGGGATAGGGTCTTACTGAAACCATACAGGAAAAGGCATCTATGCAAAATCTTACGAATGGCTCTTAATGAGCAATATGTAAAACAGTGAGAGTTGTTGAATAGTTGAAATGAGCTCAGTGATTATACCCTCACTCACGGAGAATGTGGGAAAATCACAAGCAAAAACAGGTCATTCAAAAAATTTTAAATCAGACATCAGTCTTGATTTGTCTGTAGAAAGATATTCATTGTTCTACTTCTCTCCTGAACTTTCTACATTGCATAGTAGACAAAAATCGTAAATACAATTACAAGAACTACAAAAATCTCAGGACAGTGAACTTCGCCATTAATAAGATGAAAAAAATAAAAACAAAATACTTAAACATAAACACTTACTGTCGATTCCATTTGAACTTCTCAACCTGTTTGAAAAAAATGAAGCCATTTAGATAATGCTGCCTTAAATCTTTCAATGATCAAAAAAAGGAAAAAGCATTTGAAGTGGCAACAACACAGCATATATATTATATATATAAATAAAATATATATACAGTCATTCACCACGTAATGGCATTTCGGTCAACAAAAGACTGTATATAGGACTATGGTCTCATAAAGTTAAAACAGCTGAAAAATTCCTATGCCCAGTGACGTCACAGCCATCATAACATCGGAACACAGTGCATTGCTTGTGTGTCTGTGGTGATCCTGGTGTAAATAAATCTACTGCACTGCCCGGCACATAAAGTCTAGCACATACAATTATGTACAGTATATAATACTTGATAATAATAATAAATGACTATGTTCTGGGTTTATGTATTTATTTACTATACTATACTTGTAATCATTATTTTAGGGTACACTTCTACTTCTTAAAAATAAAAAAAGTTAACTGTAAAACATCCTCAGGCAGGTCCTTCAGGAGGTATTGCAGAAGAAGGCATTGTTATCACAGGAGATGACAGCTCCATGAGTGTTATTGCCCCCGAAGACCTTCCAGTGGGACAAGATGTGGAGGTGGAAGACAGTGATATTGATGATCCTGACCCTGTGTAGGCCTAGGCTAATGTGTGCATGTGTGTCTTAGTCTTTAACAAAAAAACCTTAAAAAGCAAAAAAAAAAAAAAAAATTAAGGATGGAAAGAAAGAAAATATTTCTGTATAGCTATACAATGTGTTTGTGTTTTAAGCTAAGTGTTATTACAAAAGAGTCAAAAAACTAAAATTAAAAAGTTTATAAAGTAAAAAAGTTACAGCAAGCTAAGGTTAATTTATTATTGAAGAAAGAAAAATACGTTTTTAGAAACTTAGTGTAGCCTAAGCGTGCAGTGTGTGTGAGGTCTACAGCAGTGTACAGGAATGTCCTGGGCCTTCACGTGGCCTTCACGGTTCACTCACCACTCACTCACTGACTCACCCAGAGCAACTCCCAGTCCTGGAACCTCCATTCCCGGTAAGTGCCCTACACAGGTGCACCATTTTTTATCTTTTATACTGTATTCTTACTGTACCTTTTCCATATTTAGACACGTTTAGATACACAAATACTTACCATTATGCTACAATTGCCTAGTATTCAGTACAGTAACGTGCTATACAGGTTTGTAGCCTAGGGGCAATAGGCTATACACATAGCCTAGGTATGTAGTAGGCTATATTATCTAGGTTTGTATAAGTACCCCAGGTGATGTTCACACAATGATGAAATCCCCTAATGACACATTTCTCAGAAAGCATCCCCGTCGTGAAGGGATGCATGACTATATATATTGAAAGTAAAGTATCCATTATATCTGATCCCTATCATTATCAATAGAGAAGTTTACAACCCTACAATTACTTTCATAGAAAAATGAGCACCAGATATGCATGCAAGTCATTTACTGTATTTGCCCTAAGCTAATTGAAAAGCAGTTGTATTTTATTTAATTAGCTATGTGATCACACAACATACATAAAATTTAACGTATTTGTGTTGTTCTGGATCAATTAAACTAACGGGTTCCTGAACTATGCAAAGTAGATGCCTACAAATGAGTCTATGAATGTCTCTGGACAAGCCTACAAATCAGTTTCATTAGCCCACGTGGCCCCTAAATGTTCACAGGCTGAAATTAGCTCTCTTTAAATTGTTACTTGCCCTGCTCAAGTGCACAAGTGGCCAAAGGCAAGTCTGAATAAATGCATTCAAAGAATATCTCCACCATTGAAGGTCTTTAGGGAAGAAAGTACAATTACAATTATTGTTTAATTTCATGCCGCAATAAACCACTACTCTGCATGAGCACAAACTACTAAATCTCTGGGAGAAGAAAGTCATGTGTCCTTTAAGTCTGGAGGCAGGCTCGCACGGAGACCAAGAAAGCTCCAGAGAAAGGCCATCTTTAACTGAGCTGACTGCAAACTAAAAGTCACTTTCTACCTGCCTGGTACCAACTGGCCCTTCCATAGAGTAGACGGTTTTAAATTCTGACTCCAATAGTTAGATGGCTAGTTAATTTGTTGATGTAACTAGAAAAGTCCAGAAAACACTACAAACTAAACAAGATTGTTTTAAATCTTTGCTTGGCTGGTTTTCAAATTTTATTTCTCTGAATAAATAAAATTCCAGGAGAATACTCAAATATATAAACCTGTGAATGTTCTATAATCTCTCTCTCTCCCTCCTGTCTCCCTTTCCTTCTCTGTCTCAGCTTCTCAGAGTTACTGCTTTGACTATTAGGATATTACTGAGAAACCAAAAATAAGAAATATCAGCCTCATAAGCTAAAAGGAAAAAATTAAGGAAAAAAAGAACTATTTTTAAAGCTAAATAATAAATATAATCAGGTGTTCAGTCCATTTCTTTAGGCAAGACAGATTTATTTCTACTCGTTTATGCAAATTCACAATCTTATCTATCCAAAAAGATACGATAATCATTATTCCATGCGTGGTTTTTTGACACTGAAAAGACAAATGTTTAATCTGCTATAGAGGTACATATTTCATCATATTCTTAAAAGGCAGTCAGGTGGTACCTTATTGCCAGAAACAGAAAAACTTGGAGAAGAAATTATTTTCATTCTTGCTAACAAAATGTTTGCTTTTTGTCTCCTTTCCTGACCAAATTAAATCTTTGTTCCTAATCAGGTTAAAAAGCAGAAGCCAAAGACTCCTAAAGAGAGACAGCTAGAAATACTCACAGGAAGTTCCTATTCAGGTCCGTGCTCCGGGAACTCCACGAAGAGTCTTCACTCAGATCCTGAGCAGCAGAGAAAGGCCATCAATTTTCCCACTCCAATTTTCCAGTAACACGTTTACAAAACACACTCTTTGGAGGACATTTCTTTTTCCTCCCTCTAGCTTCATGTTTCTCTTTTAATAAACATACTGAACCCAAGCTAGAAAGATGCATAATGTCAGCACAATATCAGAGTAACTCAATGTGTCAATGGACTTGAACAGAATGAAATTACTTTTATGAGGACATCGAAGAGAAAATGTAGTATATGAAAGTTTTTACAGAAATAGGATTAAACATACAAAATCAGATAATGACTCAAAAGAAAGAGTGAAGGTACAAATTGACAGACATAGATCATCACACCACGATGTCCTATCATAAGAAGATTATCATTTCAGGAGATGATAATTACTTAAAATAATATTACCTTGAATTTACCTTATTCTATTTCCTATTTAAATTCAACTAGTATTTCTTGAGAACAAATACACTGCAGGCATTACTCTAGGCTTTTTTCTAGGTGTTATTTTTTATGTCCACTCTCAGCAATCTCTTTAGGATGGCATTAGCCCCGTTTTAGAGACACAGCCTGTGATGCTCATAGGTTAATTGATGTATATAGCATTGGAACATAGCAGGTGGCAGAGCCAGAATTTAAGCACAGGTCCCTGCCTCCAATTACCCTCAGATAGCCTTTGAGTTTCTTCTCAAAACCTTTCACAGACACCATTCCTAAAAGAACATCTAAGGTTCTTAATATGTATTCATACAAGTCATGTTTATACAGTTCCCAAGTTCAAACAGATAATACGTATTCAAAGAAGACTTAAAATTAGATTTCTTGGGTTACTATAACTAGTCACACTTCCCACATGGCGGATGGCATAAAACTGTGGTCCCCAATCCCCAGGGCCACAAACCAGTACCCGTCCGTGGCCTGTTAGGAACCGGGCCACACAACAGAAGGTGAGCAGCGGGCCAGCAAGAGAAGCTTCATCTGTAGCTGCTCCCCATCTCTCACATCACCGCCGGAGCCCTGCATCCTGTCAGATCAGCAGCAGCATTAAATTCTCATACGAGCACGAACCCTATTGTAAACTGTACACGTGAGGGATGCACACTCCTCGTGAGAGTCTAATGCCTGATGATCTGAGCTGGAGCTGAGGCAGTGATGCTAGTGCTGGGGAACAGCTGCAAATACAGATTATCATTAGCAGAGAGGGTTGACTGCACAATAAATGTAATGCGCGTGAATCATCCCAAAACCATGCCCCCCACCATCCATGGAAAAATTGTCTTTTTCTACCACGAAGCAGGTTCCTGGTGCCAAAAAGTTTGGGGACCGTTGCACTAAAACAAGGCACATATTTGTAGATGGTAAGAAAAACAGACTGCAACATCAGAGAACCTCAGCACTGAAGAAACACTGAGGGTCCTTTACCCTGAAATGCTTGCGTCCCCTCTGTCATGTCTGCAAAGAGGTTTGTTAAGCCTCTGCTTGACTAACCACACTAGCAAGGGACTCACTCCTTCCAGAAATAAACCAGTCCATGCTTGGAAAGCTCCAATTGCTAAAAATTTCTCCTCAGATTGGGCTGAAATCTGTCTCCCCATAGCTTCTATGTGTTGATTCTAGATCTACCTCTTTAAAAGTATATAGAAAATATCTTATTTTTCTTTCCATGTGACAACTTTTATATATTTGAAAACAGTTTCTAAAATTTCTGAAATCTTTCTCTCTCATGCTGACCATTCCCAGGATAAATTGTTGGGTGGAAAGGTAAATTGCATAAAGAACAACAAAGAAAGAGCAATGTGAGGGGGCTAAAAAAAAAAAAAAATTAAGCAGGGATCCAACTGAGCACAGTTTCCAAACAAATATTAAATTGAAGACTGATAAAAAGTAGAAGTCAATTAAAAGCCATAAAGATCAAGAAAAGCATTGCATGCTCAAATTTTTTTTTAAAAAAACTATCAAAATATTTTTACCTCTTGAGACCGCTTTAGGTAATCACTGACTTGTATAGCCTGTTGATCAATTTCTTTAGTTTTCATTTTCTGGTATAAATAATGTTCCAGATCTTGTAAAAGGGAAGAAAAAATGAGAAAATACATGAAAATGTGTTACATTCAAATCACAGTTCCCAAATAGAAAAATCTGAACACAGTACATTCATTTAAACTTGGATATAGTTTTCTCTTTCTGTTTTTAGCAAGTTTTATCAAGTTTCCTTTATCCATTTTTTTTCCTCGAGAGGTTGAAAGCTACATATTCTATTTCTATTCTTCTATACTTTCACATCTATAACAACTTATACTTCTCTGTCAAAGCCAAGAATTAATGATCCATAATCTGTTCTCCTATAAAACAACACCTTTAGTAATGTGTTTATGTTTACCTTCTCCTGTACACTATAGCCCATGCTTTCTTTAAAATATGTAAAATTTTAGTTTCACATGGTTAGGACTCCTTTCCTAGCAACTGCATCAAGCATCATAGTAGGCTACTTAAATGCAACAACAACAAAAGAAAGATAGAAAAGAATGTCATCAAATATATTTAATTTTTAACCTTTTCTTTAAAAGGATGATGAGGCTCGCTATTGCTATTTTTTTTTTAACCTGGTACTTACTGCAGATAGTAGGTACATAACAATTATTTAATAAATACTTGGTTAGATGAATTCTGAGAATAATATTTATTAAGAGTCCAGAATCGATGTAGGTGATAATAGTAGTGTTTTTCCCCCTAATGATTTTGTGCTAGGAAAAAAAAATAGTATACAAGAGGTATAAGAAAAAACTTACTGAAAAATCATAAAATTTTGATATATGAATTCTTTGTAGTCTTGGAATATCATAAAATTATGATGAATATGATTTAAATGATAGCACAGTATTATAATTAAAATGAAAGACCTATAGAAAAAGCTAAATATATACTTTTCCTTTTCATAGTTAATTTCCTGGGGACTTTACTTTTTGTGTTTAAAAAGAGCTACCTGACAGGGCATCTCCCTTTCCCAAACTTTCATTTTTTTTTTTTTTTTTTTTTTTGAGACAGAGTCTCACTGTGTTGCCCGGGCTAGAGTGCCGTGGCATCAGCCTAGCTCACAGCAACCTCAAACTCCTGGGCTCAAGCGATCCTTCTGCCTCAGCCTCCCGAGTAGCTGGGACTACAGGCATGCGCCACCATGCCCGGCTAATTTTTTTCTATATATTTTTAATTGTCCAATTAATTTCTTTCTATTTTTAGTAGAGACGGGGTCTCGCTCTTGCTCAGGCTGGTTCTGAACTCCTGAGCTCAAATAATCCTCCCGCCTCGGCCTCCCAGAGAGCTAGGATTACAGGCATGAGCCACCGCGTCCGGTCCCAAACTTTCATTTTTTAAATTCTTTTTAAATTAATTCTTAGCTCAGACATGTTTCCAAAAAATGAGCTTCTCAATCCTGGATGTGGTTCAAGAAAGACAACGGGCCTCATTACCCACTCAGATTGGCCGGGCACTCAGTCTAGTTCCCTAGCCTTACCTCCCCCTCTGATCATCTGACTCCACCAGGTTCTTTCCCAGAAACCTCCTGCCACTTGCATCCTTCTCTGTTTGAAATTCACTGGAAAGAACTTATATAATTTAAGTAAGAATGATATATAATTACCTAAACATGGATTATACTATTTATAAAAAAGAGAATACATGAAATCTATATATAATATAAATACATGACATTTATAAATAAAATGAATATATTTATAATTGGTCCTAGAATCGTGTCTTAAGGTGTGGGATTTGATCTACTCAAATTTATTATTTCTAATAAACTGTGTTATTTAAGGCAAGATAATTAAGCTCTCAAGCCATGTCTATAAATTGAGAGGATTCTGAATAATTTAATTTCTAATGTCTCTTTCAGCTTAGAGTCTACTCGATTCTCAGTGATTTAACAGACAATTGAGTACTTCTTAGACATAAATCAGAATTTCTCCATCTTAGCACTGACATTTTGAGTTGGATAATTCCTTGTCATGGGGGCTGACCCACGCATTGTAGGATGTTTAGCAGCATCTCTGGCTCTACTCACTAGATGCCAAGAGCACTTCCTGCCCACTTTAGTTGTGACAACCAAAAATATCTCCAGATTGCCAAATGTCCCACGAGGAAGGCAAAGCGGTGTACAAAAATCACTCCTTGGTTGAGAATCGCTGACCATAAGAGCAAGCAGTATTTTAAAGAAACATGGTAGCATAAATTTTAATGCAATTTCTAATTTGTATCCTTAAGTTTAGTATTTTAAATGATTTTAAATCTTTATGATACCTTAATCACATAGTCTTTCTGTTTAAAAATTAATAAAGGTCTCTAATGCAAGTTTAGAGTTTTGATCATTGCTGTCATTTCTATTCATACTCTGCCCTCATCCTACCTGCCCTGACTTAGCACATTCCACGCCTACCTCCTGGCCTTCATTCCCAACTGGTTCATCTGTCCTCTCTCCTCTACAAACACCATTATTAAGCTTAAAGGATACTTGCCCACAGAATAAACACTACAGGTAGGCCAGTATTAAATAACCAACTTTAACTCAAACCACTGAATTCTGTGTAACAGTCCACAGTAGTGTCACATGTACTTTAAGAATTTATAACATTAGACAATCCCCTACCCTGTAAACCAGGCTAGATGAATGTCCTCTGGAAGAAACGCTCTGAGTCAGGTACAATAGGTTTGAATATAAGAGACAATCTAATCTTAATTTCTCTTTTCTGGATTCCTTTAAACAAATGAAATTTTGTTCACAAAAATTAAAAAGTGAAAAGAGCTGTTTTCCTAAGAGAGTGTTCCACCACCTCTTTCCCTCATTTCCACCTGAAAGAACAGGAGTCTTTTAACGGTCTAAAAAGCTTACCCTGAGAAAACTCTACCAGGGTTTTTGGGATCTAGAACTGTAGACTGTTACATACTTATCTGACTAAATTTGGACCCCGTAAGCCAGTTCTTGTTGCACTCCTGTTCTTCTGAGATGTTATTTTCTCCTTGCTCTGGATTTAACTGGTCACTTTGATAGTCGGCATTGATTGTTATGATCTGGAGAGAAACACACTTGTTAGAACATAATAACATGAATCCAAAAGCATTTTGAGTCATGCTAATAGAGGCACCACGGTGAGGAGCATGGTTGTTAACATTGGCTGCATTATTAGAATCACCTGAGAAGTTTTGACACTCAGGCTGGCAGGACACAAGCGGCCATGCGATTTCTCTTTGCAGTCATAGTTAAGAACCATGGTGTGGAGCAGGGATTCTCAAACTTGAGTGTACATCAGGGCTGGGGTGCTGGGGTAAACCACAGATCACTGGGTCTCACCCCCAGGATCTCTGATGCAGTAAGTCTAGAAGAAGGGAGAATCTGAATATCTACTAAGTTCCCAAGTAATGTTCATGCTGCTGAAAGGAGATCATATTTTGAGAGCCACTGGTATGGAGCAAAAAAATCATAAGGCTTGGAGCCAAAGAACTGGTGTTGAAATTCTAATTCTGTCAGTTGGAAGTTATGTGAACTTGGGCAAATCACTTAATGTCTCTGAGCTCCATCCTCTTCATCACTAAAATAAAAGATAGCCAATAATATGGCTGCCCTATGTACTTCTCAGGTATGGAACAAATGGGGTAAATGGGTAACTACGAAGCAATAAACAAATGCAAGTTGAGTACCTGAGCTCAGTTGCAATTTCTAGTTGAACTCTAGCCATCTGAACTATTCCAAAAATAAATCTACTTAAATGCATATTTCATGGGATTCTAGCAAGTCATGGCATTTTCTCTGAAAGAATAGCCTTCCTTATTGAGCTAAATCTCTCCCCTACAAGGTAGTTTTACATAATTGTCTCAATATTGGTCTCTTCACTTCTGTTTCTCATTCTAAAAAGAGGGCTGAAGTATTTTTTTTAAAATGTGTCCAGATAATTATTTGGAAAAGTAAGTGTAAAATGGAAAAGTGAAGCAGGGTATTAAGACCATGAAAGGTGAATTCTTGCAGAATTGCTAATTCAGATCTAAGACTTCCTGACAATATATAAAAAGATTCACTGAATGAAAATGAAAACAACATACCAAAATCAGTAGGATAGAGCTAAAACAGTGCTTACAGGGAGTTTTACAGCACTAAATGCCTATATCAGAAAACAAAGCCTCAAATCAATGAGCAAAGTTTCTACCTGAACAAACTAGAAAGAGAAGAGCGAGTTAAAGCCAAAGTAAATAGAATAAAGAAAATAATAAAGACAAGAGCGGAAATCAATGAAATAGAAATCAGAGAAAAATCAATGAAACCAAGAGCTGGTTCTTTGAGACGATCAATAAAATAGACAAACCTGTAGCCAGATAAATCATGAAACTAAGAGAGAAAGCACAAATTTAAAATGTTAGGGATAAGGGGAGGAGCCAAGATGGTGGACAAGAAAAGACGCCAGTCAGAGTGTCTCTGCAAAAAAGACAGATTTTAGAAGAAAGTGAAAAAAATAAACTAGCAGAAAAACATAGATCAGGTGAGGGTTGGAAGAAAGCGTGCCTGAAACTACAGGAAACTCCACGGGAAGACATTGCGGAGAAGAACTGGAAGGAGAAAGGTCCCCGAGAGGCTTGGAGACCAGCGACAAGGGTAGGTAGAGCAGGTAACTTTCCCTTCCCTTGCATCTCGGACTGTTGATGGGCTCCTGAGCGGTTGGAGAGACCTGCCATCACCAGCCCAGAGACCGCTGCTGCCAGTGAATGGTGGCCTCTTGCTGACAGGGCACCAGGCTCCCAGCTCCCTTGGAGAACCTCCCCGCACACAGACCCGAGCCCATCAGCAGACGCCATATTGCTCCATTCTCTCCTTCCCCTTCCCTACCCATGGGTGACCAGAGAGACAATTTAGCCATCACCCAGAGGCATCTCCAAGGAATGGGACCTTTCCTTTTGGGGCCCTACAGCAGACTGAGGGATACTCAGACTGTGAGCCCCCTATCCACCAGTCCTCCCAGGTGCTGCTTGCCTGGTGATTCCAGGAGAGCGGGCAAATCCCAAAGTGGAGTGAAATCAATCCAGCTGGGGCACCCTGTAGGTGATCTGAGACCAGCACTCCTCCCCCTGGCAGGGTCAGGGATTGATCTCCAGGGCCCAGGGGACAGGCCTGCAGACCAGACCCTGTACATGCAGCTCACAATCTCACTGCCCCGAGGCACAGAAGGGATATCTGTGAAAGAGCCTACTGAGGAGTGTGTGCCTTCAGGGGCAGATCAGCGTGCCTGAGCGGCAACCCTGCTTCCAAAAGAGAGCCATGCACCCAGCTCAGGTGGCGATCCTGAGCAGGGAACCTCCTGGCCCACATCACAGTTAGAGGAGATACATTGGCCTGAGGTCTGGCCTGCTGGCAGAGGCCTGGGAGAAGTCATGGAATAGGGGAGGATGGAAAGGAGCGAGACATGCTCCAGAGTGCAGGTCTCGGACAGCCCCACCCCCCACACACAGACTTTTCAGCTGGGTGGAGCCATTTCAGCCCTTCCTGGCAGCTTTGCACAGAAACAAAGAACAGAACTTTGACCCCTGCTAACAGCATTTGTGGAGACTGAGGGCAGGCTTACCCAACCCAGATCTGCCCAGACTCACTCCGGACCTGCCCCCACTGAGGTGGAGAATAAGGACACACCTAGAAGTCCCAGGGCCCCACCCACCACCCGAGGCACAAGAGGGCCTCTCCGGAGGAGCAAGAGCTAGTTACACGACACAAAAACAGCACTGCAGCTCACTCTTCCCAGCAAGTGCCACCTACTGACACGGAGGTCATTCTGCACACCCTTTTACTGCATCTACTGACTCATCATAAAGGGTTTGGTCGAATCTCACCCACAAACACCACCTACTGGCACAAAGACTAAACAGGGTATGTCGTTATCCAAACAAAAATCTAAAGGCAAGAAGGAACAACTGATCCAGATGAGAAGGAACCAGTGAAAGAACTCTTGAAATATGAAGAATCAAACTGAAAGGACACCCCCAAAGAGGAACAACAGCTCTCTAGCAATGGACATTAACCAAATTCAGAACACTAAAATGACAGAAGAAGAATTTCAAACATGGATTATAAGAAAACTCAATGACATGCAAGAAAAAATGGATAACTAACACAAAGAAACCACAAAAAAAAAATCCAGGACTTGGAAGAAAAATTCACTAAAGAAATTGAAATATTAAAGAAAAATCAAACCGATCTCCTGGAAATAAAGGACTTATACAGGGAACTGCAAAACACCATGGAAAGCCTCAAGAACAGGGTAGATCAAACAGAAGAAAGAATCTCAGAGATTGAAGACAACTCCTTCCAATTAAATAAGTCAGTCACAGAAATCGAGCAGAAAATTAAGAGAAAAGAAATAAGCCTACAAGAAATGTGGGATTTTGTGAAAAAACCAAACCTGAGGGTGATAGGGGTTCTGGAAGATGAAGAAGAAAACACTCAAGGGCAGGATAAGCTATTTGAAGAATTAATAGAGGAGAATTTTCCAGGCCTTGCTAAAAATCTAGATATACAGGTACAAGAAGCTCAACGGACCCCAGGGAGATTCAATGCAAATAGGAAGACACCACATCATGCAGTCATCAGATTGACCAAAATATCCACTAAGGAGGCCCTTGTATGAGCTGTAAGGCGAAAGAAACAAGTAACATACAAAGGAAAGCCCATCAGAATAATTCCAGACTTCTCAACCGAAACCCCACAAGCAAAAAGAGACTGGGGCCCCATTCTCACTCTTTTGAAACCCAGAATAATGCCCAGCCTACAATCTTGTACCCTGCAAAACTAAGTTTCATATATGAAGGAGAAATAAAGACATTCTCAGATAAGCAACGATTGAGGAAACTCACCAAGACAAGACCAGCTCTCCAAGAAGTATTCAAAACAGAATTACACAAGGATCAGCACAATAAACACTCTCAAATGTAAAACCACTCAAAAGTTAAAGATCAAAGGCTAGATTCCACAATGGCTCAAGAGAGAAAGCAAAGCAACAAAATGCAACCTAACAGAATGAACAGTAATTCATGCCACTTATCAGTTCTCTCAATAAATGTGAATGGCTTGAACTCCCCTCTCAAGAGACATAGGCTGGCCAAATGGATAAAAAAAAAAATAAACCAAGCCTCTGCTGTCTCCAGGAAACTAATCTAACCTGTAAGGATGCATTTAGACTCAAGGTAAAGGGGTGGAAATCAATATTTCAAGCAAATGGAAGCCAAAAGAAGGCTGGCATGGCAGTTTTGATCTCAGATAACTTAGTTTTTAAATCAACAAAAGTAATGAAAGACAAAGAGAGTCACTATATAATGGTGAAGGGTACAGTTCAACAAGAAGACATAACAATTCTAAATATGCATGCACCCAACTTAGGTGCACCCAGATTCATAAATCAAACTCTATTTGATCTAAACAAATTGATAAACAGAAACACCATAATAGTCGGAGATTTCAAGACCCCACTGACAGCAAAGGACAGATCCTCAAAACAGAAAATTAACAAAGAGATAATGGACTTAAACACAACTCTAGAATAAATGGGCCTGACTGACATTTACAGGACATTCTACCCAAAAACCACTGAATACATGTTCTTCTCATCAGCTCATGGGACATTCTCTAAGATTGACCATATTCTAGGACACAAAGCATGTCTCAAAAAATTTTAAAAAATAGAAATTATACCATGCATCTTTTCACATCACAGTGGAATAAAAATAGAAATCAACCACAATAGAAACTTTCATCTGTACACAAAGTCATGGAAATTAAACAACTTTCTGCTGAAAGATTCCTTCATAAACAAGGAAGTAAACATGGACATCAAAAGATTCTTTGAACTAAATGACAAAGGTGACACAAGTTATCAAAATCTGTGGGACACAGCCAAAGCAGTCCTAAGAGGAAAGTTTATTTCCATAAATGCCTATATCCAACAGTCAAAAAGATCACAAATAGACACTCTAATGAATCGACTCAAAGACTGGAAAAAGAAGAACAGACTGACCCCAAATCCAGCAGAAGAAGGGAAATTAATAAGGTCAAATCAGAACTAAATGAAATTGACAACAGGGAAACTATACGGAAGATTAATAAAACAAAAAGTTGGTTCTTTGAAAAAATAAACAAAATTGA